CTGCCATGGGAAAACCTTGGAAGCTGGTTCTGCAACATGCGGCAATTGTTCAGCTTTTTCAGCAATTCGTTCTTCTTTCGATTGCGAGCATTTTGATGCTCTTCAATCTTGCTATGGTGGACTTCTTCCCCGGGGTGAACGTCTGGCCAATTTTCAGAACTTTGTTTGCCGACGCTTCTCCGAGCTACGTCGTTTTAGCTCTTAGCTCTGCTTGCAAGTCAGAGAGGAGGTTGTTGCAGTCTTTTTGCACCAAGTTGTGGCCGATTTAGTGCAGAATTGCGTCTTCGGTTATTTTGGAAAGTTACAGGAGAAAGGGATTCCGACAACCGACTGAATTTGCTTCTTTGGTGACCTGAGGACTCACATTCATCGAACAAGGGATTGAATGCAAGAGTCATACCAGAATGTAGCTCTGTGCGAGGTGATTCTTTTGAACTCCTCCTCGCGCCAATCCATGACCTGGATTTTGAGCTATGCTTCATGGAATATGGAGCCTATTGGACCTCTCTTTTTTGTCCTAGTTTCTCTGGCTGAATTTCTATTTAGAGCAACAAGGGTCCCCGATCACGCCACAGTGAGTGCCTTAGGTCAAAATGACGAGGCTGGTATGATATAGAACATGTCAACATTTGAGCTCGGGCTGATCTCATAGAAGAGCGTCGTAGGTTGGAGAAGTTGTTGACGAAAGCCTTGACACAACCCCATTTTCGAGACTGGTTTGGTAAGCCACATCGCGCTAAGGTAAAACCTATGAGTTGCGAGGCCGCATGAGCATTGACCATTAAGAGAGCTCCGTTTAAGCCCAAATTTGGTCCTCGGGGATTTTTTAACTTTTTGAGTACAATGCCGATGGTCTAGTCCTGGGAAGTTAAAAAAGAATTGGGTATCGGTATTGGATTAGCTTTAAGTAATAAGCGAGATATAAATGTTAAAATTGGGACCTAGATATTTATTTATTTTTTATTAATTTGTCAAATATTATGTTTTGGAATACAATATCAATCGAAAGTAAAGTACGTTGGATTGAGAGAGAGAGAGAGCGAGAGTTATGAGAGTTTTATTGATGAGTGAGAGAAGCGACCTAGAGAGAGACACATTTGTACACCAATTGATGCAAATGTTCCATGATAAACTTCATTGCCCCTCAAAATTAAAGCAATTATTGACAATATCAAACACAACCTCAATTTAATTAAGTTTAAACAATAACCTGTAATAGTTTAAACCAATGGTTTAAAAAACGGATCGGTGACCCGGATCGGGCTTCCAAAAAACCGATCCAGATCGGCGAATCGGCGATCCGGATCGGGAATCGGGTGAATCGGTCAGAATAAAGCTTAAAAAAAAATTCGAAAAAATTATTAAACTTCATTATAAATATTGTTTTTTAGGAATTCAATAAAAAATGAGGGTACTCCATTAAGAATTTTCATGTTTTTGAATGAATATACGAATATTGATATGTTCTTTCCCTGCATGAACCGTCATTCAGCATTTAATTTACAGTATTTCGTGCTCATCCCTACAC